AAGGCCCTTGTTCCTTGCTTCTTCCTCTACTCATCCAGGGAGGAGAAGCAGTGGAGGCAGAAAGAAGCTGGCTAAGGCATCTTAGCCATAGCAAGGCAAGAGAAAGAATATGGCTTGTGGAGATGGCATCTGGATGATGCTCTTTGCAGGGTCACCTCTCAGTGACACTCAGTATTTGGTAAAGGCAGCCAGTCCTACACTGTGGAGGCCAGAGGGCTCGGGACATGCAAGGGCCCTCTATGTTGGGATCTTCTTATTCTCTTTGGATTTAGAGATCACACTGGTAGGCTGAGGATGTGTATGACGGTGAGCTCCTTGAGAAGTGTAGGAGAGTTCCCATGAGACCTTTCTAGATTCCTCCCTGGTGGTCCTAGCAAAGAAAAAGACAACAGGAGGGCTCGTGGTTTTCCTCAGGTTGTCAGTAACACAGTACCAGAGACCAGTAGCTTAAATGGCAGAAATTAATTTCCTCTCAGTGCTGGAGGCTGAAGTTTAAGATGGAGTTGTTCATCAGGCCTCTTCCTCAAGGGTTTCCTCCTCAGTGTGGATGCTGCATCTTCCCACCCGTCCTTCCATGCATACGCCTGGTAGCTGCTTTCCTCAGATGATCTGGCCAATCATACCATATTAGAGCCTGCTGTAATGACCTCATATTAAATTAATTGCCTCTTTAATTTAACTTACTTATCTCTAATTAAGTCACATTCTGAGGTGCTAGGGTTAGGGCTTCAGGATGCTTGTGGAACAGGCACAATTTACTTCATGGCAAAAGGGAGTTGACATTTAAACAAATTCCAGTTCAATTTTATTAACCTTTAATACCTTTTTTTTTTTTGGAGTTCACATCCTCAAAAGATCTTTTTTTTGTTTTGTTTTATTTGTGAGTATTTGACTGTACAGGGGGTATGTGCACATGAGTGCAGTTTCCTGAAGAAGCCAGAAGATGGCGTTGTAGTTGCAGGCGGTTGGGAAAGGCCTGCTGTAGGTGTAGGGGATCAAATTTAGATCCTTTCCAAGAGCAGAGCAGACTTCTTACTCCTGGGCCATCTGTTCTGCCCTGGGGCTCCTTTTTTTCCCCCAATGGATTCAAACTCACGAGACTTGCATTTTGAGTGAGGACATAGGTCGAACACTAGGAAGGGCTAAATGAATTTAATGACAGCCAAAACATTGACATGCTTGTGGAATTTAAAATTCCCTCACTCTGCCTCTTTGTCTTGTATCCCTCTGGAACATGTTACTGATGCTCTGGGGGGCAGAGGACCAAGCGCCTTCTAGTTCTTGGGGTTCCTGTTTGGGTCACTTGCAGTAGCTTCTGTTTTAGTTCCTTTTCTCATTTCTGTGTCTAAAGACCCCACAAAAGCAGCTTAAGTCAGGGAAGGCTGATTTTGGCTCAGAGTCCATTACAGCAGGTGATGTACAAGATAATAGGAAAATGAAGGAAGCAGGTTTTCACAAGGGGAGAGAGAGAGAGAGAGAGAGAGAGAGAGAGAGAGAGAGAGAGACTAGTATGCTATTTGCTTTACCCTTCTCATCCAGCAGCTGGGGACTCCATCCCATGAAATGCTACCACTCACATTTATGGTGGGTCCTCCCATCTTAAGTAACCTAATGTAGACAACCCTTCACAGGCGTGGTTTGTTTCCATGGTGGTTCGAAGTCTCTTTAAGTGAACTATTAGGATTAACTACCTTGGGCTGGGAGATAGCACTCTTGATAGATTGCCTGGCATATGAACATAAGGTCCTGGGTTCAGATCTCCAGAAAGCCAGGTAAAAAGCCAGCTGTGTGATGCTGGAGGAAGGAGCAAAGGTGGAGACAGGTCCCTACAGCTCATTGGCCAGCCCCCATAGCCAAATCAGTGTGCTCTGGTCTCAGTGAGAGACGCTGCGCTGTCTCAGAAAATAAGGAGAGAGTGATGGAGAAGGGTAGCTGCCACCCCTTTGGGATCAGCTTCTACAGCCCCTAAAAATGTATGTTTCTTGTTTTAAAGGTGATGCATTATTTACCTGCATGTTACAGTATCCATTTTGTCTTTATATAAAACAAAAACTTTGGCTCAAAAAAAAAATCAGTCTATTTTTTTTTTTTAATTTCTGAATTTGACACAACTTTACTTGCTATGTAGCTGAGATGGGGCTTGAATTTCTAATCCCCCTGCCTCTGCCTCTTGAGTTCTGGGATTGGCGGGATGAGCCACCCTGCCCAGGCAGGAAGAACCAAGGACTTGATTCTTAGTAACTTTTCTTATCTAAATGATATGTAATCAGCTAGCTGACTGCAAAGCTCAGAATGAACCTCAGCTTGGCCAAGTGCTGCCTAACGTGGACCAGAGCAGATCCTCCAAGACGAGACATTTTGCTGGACAAAGTAGCCTGGGTCCTCAATGGCAATGGTTGGCAATTCTGTTTCCAGGGTGCAAAAATGATTATTTTGTGTTGACTTCCTGTGGACATTGTTCGAAGCCTCCTTGTGGGCCACTTGCGTGCATTCAGGGGTGTGGTGGCACCCCACTTCCCACCATCTGCTCCTCTTTCCATGTTGCAGTGAAAGCCCTGCTATAGTGGAGTTCCTTTCTGTTACTCAGTTTTCTTGCTGGAGAGCTGTGCTCCTCTGAGGACTTGTGTTTCTCATGGAGGCTTCTTTGTTTGACGGCTTTTGGATGGGCAGCAGGACAGAGAAAGGCGTGCTTTCTCTTTGACTTCTGGAGGCTGTTCTGTCTGCTGGATGGGAACCATTGGTTCATGGTTCTGTGGCTTCTGACTTCTGTGCATCAGGCATTTTGAGGGAAGCGGGTCAGCAACGACGCAACAAGTCCTAGGCAGTGTGCTTTTAGAGTCGTGGCGTGTACTGACTATAGATTTGGGGATGGCTTAATTTCACTTCTTTAAATATGAAGACCATTAATTAAGACTGCGTGGCAGGATTTACCAAACCCTTAGGGAAGAAACGCTATTTAATAATTTTTGTTTTCTTGCCACTGCTGCTGATTCTCGGGGTGGGATTTGTATAATTAATTGGCTCCTGGTGGAATATAGCTCTTCTGCCTCCTCCAGGCTCCCCATTCTCAGGGTAAAGTTAGTATTCAAAAGAATTAAGACTTTTCACGTCGTAAATGTTCAGTAATTACCTGGTGAGTTAATTATGTAAAAAAAATGCGTTCCAGGATAAATAAAACATGGCATAGAGCTGATGAACTATGATTTATCTACGAGAGAGAGGCGTTCAGATACATGCCGTAACATGGAGGAATCTTGACCATGCTGTGGAAGTGGAACAGTCTAGGCATAAAAGCGTGGTTCCATGGTTATGACATAACCCAAACTTGCAGAGATTGTGTGGAGACTAGAACTCACCAGGGCTTGGGAGTTCTTGGAAACGGGGCTTAATGCTCGGTGGTTTCAGGGTTCCTGATTGGACAGATGGAAAGTTCTGGAAGGCAGTGTGCAATATTCAATCACTCCAAGTTAGAGGTCTTAAAAACAGCTAATGGGTATACACGTACTTGGAAGCTTTAAAACCCCGATTCTGATGCAGGAAGAGTAAATAAAACATGTACAAGTTGAAAAAACACGCAAACTGTTTTTTTTTATTGCTTAGGTATTTATTACCCAGGCTTCTGGACCTGCCTATGGGCAGTTTTTCTGTGCATTTCCCTGTTGTGGCACAGATGGACATTTCTTGTCTCACTCTGGCCAGGATGACAGCCTCAGACAGTTGTGGTACAATTCCTTCTCAACTTGGGAGAAATCATACTGTTTATAGAAACTACTACAGAAATCTGGAATCCCTTAATCCTTCTAGAAATTTTATCCTTGGAACAAGCCAGATGGTCAGGTCACTGCATGCTTGGTGCTTGGGTGGGTTTTGTTGTGTGAACCCCTTGCTGAATTGCATTAGTGACTCGCGCTTGCCATCGTCCCTCCCGTGAGGCATGTGGTATAGAAAGTCAATTCATTCAAATTAATAATAATAATGATAAAAAAGATCAGTCAGGGTTCTTCAGAGAATCCTGTTTGTAAGTCCATAAAAGAGAGAGATTTATTTTAAAGAATTTCTGATGATAGAACCTGGTAAGTGTGAAGTTTGAGAGAAGGCCAATGGGCCAGAGAGCTGTTAAAAAGCTGTTGTTGACATGTTGAGTTTCATAGTGTAATTTAGAGGCAGAATTCCTTCCTGGGGGAACTAAGTCTTGTATCTTAGAATCTCCTTGACTGAATAGGCCAGTCATGGTGAAAGGTGTTCCCCTAATTCAAATATTAACACATCCCTTAAATAAAAACATCTTCTCTGTGGCATCTCTACTGATGTTTAAACAATGGACCCTGGTATCCTCAGCCAAACTGACTACAAACTAACTGTCATGGATAGGGATATGTCAATTACAGAATTATCTGCAAATCAGGGGTATGCATTGTCTTTTATATTTGCTTCTTTGAGTGCCTGTAGAGGATGATTCCAGTTCCCTCCCACCACCTCACCTAGGTTCAAGTCTCCTGTTGTCATTACTTCATCAGCTGGCTAGGGCTGACTTCCAAACCAAGGTGGGTTCGGCGGCATAGAGTCTTCATTGTGGATGTGTGGAAGGTGTGAATGTGTGAACGTTACAGCCTGCCAAGCAGGCTGGTGTGAGTCCATGCCACGGCGAGTTCTGCCAGGCAGCCCTTTGGGAATCAGCCGCTTCTGTGGAGGGGTGTGATGGGTGCATGATTTCACAGTGATCGCATCGCCAATTAGTCGGGGGCCCAGGTGTGTGTTAGTTAATGTTAGCTCACTCTCTGTTACACCAGCGACCCCACTTTGACCTGATTCCGGGGACCTTCATGCATTTGACACTGTTCGATTCATTGTGAGGTGCTGCTCTCTCCCGAAAGGTGCTTAAACCTCTGGAGATCCGCTTGCTTTTTTGTTTGTTTGTTTGTTTGTTAGAAAACATTCCAGTTGCTCAAGAAAGTAAGCGAGCAGTGGCAGCTCTGACTTTGTCCTTCCCTCTCTTGCAGTTTGGCTCTTCTTTGGATGCAGACCTATTGATTGCAGAGTAGAGCCCGGCTACCAGGTTGTCTTTCTAAGGTAAGAGCTTAGTTATCATCGACACCCCTGGGCTTCAGTCAGAAGCTCCTGCTTAGCCTAGTGGGCATCTGCACAGACTCCAGCATGTCTTGGAACTCTGTTTTCTGCAGTTTGCCAGATTTCTAACCCAGGCTAGCCTGCTTCTGTTTCTGTGCTGTGGTTCTGGGACTTAGAATGCTAGTTTGGGCTTGTTATATTTCTTTGTGTAGCGCAGGAGGGAGTCTGCAAGCTCAGGGACTGCTTGGTGGATTAAAGACTTGTCTGGCACTACAAAAATCACTTATTTGGTGAGTTAAAAGAGAACTCACCTAAAGCAACCTTGGCAGATCACGAGGTTCTAGGTGGGGCAAGGCATCGTGTTTGCATGTAGTCATATCAAGGGAAATATACTGCTGGCAACACTCAGTGTATGCAGCTACTAATCATGGAATGCTTGGAACGTTCAGAAGTTTAAATGTTAAGGATTAGCAAACACATACAGACCCCAAACAGGATGAGAGTGTTATTCCAACGAAGAGGCCATGGGCATAAATGCAAGCATATTTCAAGCTCTGTGTTTAACCGACGAAGTCATTCGGCTTTACATGCTTTTGGCTTTTAATGGTGTGCTTAACACAGAGTCTGCCCAGATTAGGGAGGTAGCCCTGACTTCCATCTTTCCCAGGTGACGAGATCAAAGTAGAGGGCTGGCTTACTGAGGTCAGGCTGCACAAGCCATGCAATGCCATTTTGTGGCTGTGAGGAGTAAGCCTGTGCTGTCTGGTTGTCACTCCCTGGCTGTTAGCAATGCCAGCCCCTAGCCCCGAGGTCTCTGCCTTACAAACAGACCTCCCACCTTGTGTTTTTTTTGATGGGTGGAAAGGAGGAAGGCGAGCACCCACAGGAAGTTGTCAGAGATCAGGAAGTGATTGGGCCTTGGCCATGTTTACATTCCTTTTCTTGTCCAGGGAGCAGATTGAATTATTAGCGCCGGCATTTGTTAATGATAATTATATGTTTCAAGTACAAAGCAGGATCCTGTAAAATATCTGGTAGGATGCCTTTCTCTTTGCCGTTCTGAATCAATGACATTGTACGGCTCTAATTAGGATCAGGCAGACAAGCCAGAATCTGTATATTATCATCAGTTTTCCCTGGGGTAAGAGAGAGGATGGCATGTGAACTGCTACTTCAATTTAACAGCCTGCTACTAGCTGTCCTCCAATTGTAAAGACCAGAGAGCTGAAGGTCCAGCTAGGAGACATGAGGGTGGAGGGCCATCTTCCAAGGCAAAGACATTTTTTTTTTTTTAGCAGTGTTAGGCATAGTTCTGGGACCACAGTTAACCGCGGTGGTAGAAATGAGCACAAGGTGATAAGCAAGCCTTTAACCCCAATATTAACCATCATCACCATCACCCCAGCTAACATCATTGGCTCCTACTTCCTTAGGTACCAGACCAAGGTTTTCTACGTGTGATCTCTTATCATGATCATGGCATGCCTGGCAGGAAGAGTCTGTTAAAATCCACATTTCATAGATGAGAAAGCTGAGTTACTCAAAGTTAACCAAGCCACCAAGTGTCAGAGTGGGGTGTAGCCTCAGAACACTCCAGAACAGGGCCAGCCTAATGTAGACATCTCTGGATGCTCACTGGATTCCACTCTTACCTCCTGCCTTGCCGCATGCCCCATGCATAGCGCTTACCATTGGTACTTTATCTCTCCCATACTGGGAAATTTTAATTATGTACATATAAGAAAATTTCAGTCGTTTGACCAGCAGAGAATAGAAGCTACCCGGGACTGCTTGCTTTCCTGGTACCACATATCTGGACCATAGCAATTGCATGGCTATTTATGACCTGCTCCCTAGGTTCTCATCTGGCGTTGTGCACTTTGCATTGGTTTGCGTGTATACTGAGGACATCTGCCTGCTAAGACCCAGGGAATCAAACAACTTCTCTTTAAGCTAGATATAGGTCTGCCTGGTCCTACATTCTGTCATGGCTTACAAGGAACAAAATGTGATTTCCAGAATGTCTTCCTTCAGCGATCTACCTTGGAAAGTCTGTCTCCTTTGCCCCATGTCTCATCATTAACTGGTCTTAATAACTTTTCTCAAGTCAATGTGCTGACTTTAGAGTTCTCACTGGCCCTAGGCAGGTGGAATGAGAGCTTGGGAGCTCCACATGGTGACTGGTAAACTTGTTGGTAGACTGGTGTCCTGGCTTCATGTATGTGGACATATGCTGGGAATACCATTGACGACAGGGCCTCATTGTGCAGGGCTATTGTCAGTTATCTGTGGCTTAATAAACCACCCTGTACTTGTGACTTAAAACAGCAGGTGTTTTATTTGCTTGTGGTTTTGTGGGTTTGCAACCGGGGCTAGGCCCAGCTAGGTGGTCCTTCCGCTAGGTCAGGTGGGTCAACCCTACCATTGCACTGAACTGGTACCCAGAAGATGAGGCTTAGGATAGACCTTTGTAAACCCACTTCTACTCATGACTACTTTTTCTTGAGAAGTTTTTACATGACTCCAGCCATGTAAGAATATGAATTAGTAATACAAACCAAAGTTACTGGCAATAAATCACAAAGAAATTAGTTTCAAAACAACTCTTTGGTATACCTGCAATTTTCCATTTGTTAAAAATGAAAGTGTACTTGTGTACTAAATGTTTTTATTTGTCAAACACCATAAAATCCAAGGCCGCACTAATTTGATATTTACATGCTAAGGAATGACAGTAGGAAAATATTAAGTCTTTGTTTTCTGTGATTAAGTTGTGTTTCTTTGTGGGTATGTTTTGAGTCAGGGTTGCTGTAGCTCAGGCAGGCCTCCGACGTGTTCTGTAGTTGAGTCAGGCTGCTCTCCTGCTTCCACTTCCCAAGTGATGTGACTACATGTTCTACCATGCCCCACTTAAACCATTATTTTTCAGTAGGAGTAGAAAACGTTTTACGTACACTAAAAGCACTGCCATTCCATAACATACAATAGTCACAGCAGAGTCAACACGTTGCAGTATTCTCTGGTGTCTTGTGGCAGGACAGCATGCTCAGTGCAAACTGCACCTGCTGTGTGTGCAGAGCCAAAGCTGCAGTGAAATTGAGGGATGCAGGTGAGCGAGCACTGCCACTGTGGGTTCGTTGTGTGTGTGAGTTTTCACTAATTTTTGATCCTGGCATGTTCCAAAGCCTTTTACCATTGCTACGTTGTTTGCAATCTCACATCCAGTTATGTGGCCCCTTGTCCCACGGTTTAAAGCTTGCTCTAGGGGACTTAGCTAGAATGACACCAGTAGGCTCTCTAGCTTCTGCCACACGACAAATTTGGCCAGAGAACAAAGCAGGCAGTTCACTCTTGACACTTAGCCTCAAAAACTACTCAGCCTCGCTTCTGCCTCATTTTATTGATCAGAGTATTTGGGGGTAGGCCCTGTTCAAGGAAAGGAAGTGGAATAGAATAAACCCTACCTATTCATGATGCTACGAATTATTAATAGTCATTTAAAATACACCAAGAGATTCTTAGGTTTGATTATAAGAAGTAACCTGAAATTGGCTTAAAAGCATTTATCTTTGTTTGTGTTTTTCAAGACAAAGTTTTTTTCTGTAGAGCAGTTCTGGCTGTCCTGGAGTTCATGTTGTAGTTCAGGCTAGCCTCGAACTCACAAAGATCCACCTGCCTTTACCTCCAGAGTGCTGATCTTAAAGGCAAGCACAACCACTGCCCAACAAATGCATTTATTTTTACATAATCTTTGAGTAAGGTGATCTTGGCCAATCCATGGGAGGAAGGTGTGGAAAACAGAGGTCTTTCAGCAACACCTCTCTGCATATGATAATGAAGATGCTGACTACTGTCATCAGCACCAGTAACACTGTCAGAGTTAGGGCACAGCCTGCTCTCCAGTGGAGCCAAAAAGCTGGGTGTGGCCATCCATCCTTTAGAAGACTATTAACAAAGCCAAATGGTGAAATGCAGAGAAAGGAAATGGATTCAGTTTGGCCATATTCGGCAGAGGGACAAAGAGATTCAGGGACACATTATTAAAATGTGGGTAAAATCAAACAGAAGGCAAAAGATGTGCATGGTTAAGCAGTCTCAGTCAAGGTGTGGTCCTGCCCATCATGGATTCATCATCATCCCTGTTCTAGACTTTCATCCAAGGTGGTCAAAGTTGTCAGCACTATGTAAAACCCCTTCCACATTCCTAGGGATAGCTCCACCCCCCCAACACTTTTCTTCTCTCGTCATTAGATCCTTCTGGAGAATTCTAGTTCACAGGGGTACCTGTTTTACCCTTGTGGCCTCAAGGAGGACAAGGCACATGGTAAGAGAAGAGATCATAAAGGTGTTTATGTCCCATAGAACAGAAAGCGATTCCTTTTGGCCCACTGATGTCCCCCAGAATACGGGTGCTCAGCGTGGGTTGTTAGAGAAGTAAGTGAGAAGCAAGATGTCTAAGGACAGTCCCCATAGGCTTTCCAGTAGTCTCTTAATTTTGGTTTATGCTCCTTAGACTTAGCCAAAAATGGAATGTTGTGTTTCTTTAGCATTTTGTTTAAAGGCTATCCTGGGGAAAGACAAGGATGCCGATCTCCCCTTTTAGCACAGTCTCTGTGGAAGTTAACTCTCCAGGTGGTTTAACAAAGGAAAATAGCGTAGCCACTATTTTTTTTTTTTTTTTGCAGCCTAAAAGTGACGATTCTACATATCCTAGCAACTGACCCCCAGTTGCATCCTCACTTTGAGGAATGTAGAATATTCTTGGTGGCCAGGATCAGACTTATGGCTCAGAGTTTCTCACTTTGCCTTTAGCACCAGAGTTTGGGGAGAGACCGCCAATCTACGGCTCAACGGAAGTCAGTCTTCCAGTTGGGCTTCTGTCTCTATCCCGCAGATCCCTGTGTGATACTTTGACTCCTTAGCTTGTTCCCCTGGTCATGCTGACTTGGGCTAGTGCCAGGGACTAGCGCCTGTGACTGAAAGGTACTTGTGTGTGTCAGAAC